GAACCGCTTCTTCGGCCACCGCTTCCAGGGTGAGTGCCCGCGCCGTGCCCGCCGGAGCGGCCGGCCGGCCAGCGCCCGCCCGCGCTGTGGTGGCGCGGGGGAGGCTCGGGGGCGCGCGGGGCTGTTCGGAAGTTGTTTTTCCGAGAAGGATGCGGGTGCTCGGAGGCCAAGAGAAGAGCCGCGTCAGACCCATCACGCTCCTGCCGCCTTGGGTTCCCTCCCAGCGAATCAAACCAGGTTAGGATGTCCAGGCTTTCTTAGCTACGATGCCCACTGGACGCCAAACCCGGGAGCATCTTTGGAGCCTTCTCTCGGCGGCGGCCTGTCTTAATCTCTCCTGGCAGAGCCGGTCCCAGCCCAGAGAGCTCAGTGTCCGCCGCCCCGGCTGGACCTGCGACCATACTGGGCAGTCATGTCCATCACCGATTCCCAGGGATCCGCCCCCCGCTGGCCCGTCGGAGCAGGGCAAGGTCCACCCGCGTGCCTCGGCCTTTGGGAAGAAGGGACCGCGCGCGGTTAGGGCAAGCAGGAGAGTTAATGTTCAGTGTGGCCTTCTCCGCTGTCTGGAGGTGTTTCTCAGCAACCTCTGCCAGACTTCTCAAGTCACACGCGCGCCTCTTGGACCCAGAAGGAGGACGGTTTGCAATAGCACATCGGCCTCCTCCGCTGTTTGCCTGCTCTGGGAGCCCACCAGGCTGCGGGTAGGGATGATGGGGGCAAAAAGCTGGTAAAGTCCTGGGCAGTCCAGTTCCCTGGTCTTCTCCGGGCAATGGGTTTGCTAATGAAGATTCTCCCACTGGCCACACACACACACACACACACACACACACGTATGTTTCAATTATCTGACTTTTCTGAAGGAGAACTGCATTTGTTGGAGTTCGGTTTCTTCCTTGAATTTGGAGCTTTTTCTTTCTTTCTTTCTTTCTTTCTTTCTTTCTTTCTTTCTTTCTTTCTTCTTCTTCTTCTTCTTCTTCTTCTTCTTCTTCTTCTTCTTCTTCTTCTTCTTCTTCTTCGTAGCCTTTATTTGTGCAGTAATTGCCTTAGTTTCCGGCGGTATTTGTTAGTGTAGACCAGACCTTAGGCTTGTGAGGTTCCATGACCCAGAGCTTGGTAACCCGGTTTTTAGTGAAACAAATGAAAAGGATGTAGCTGTAGCGAGAGTTAAGGCTCCTGGAGTTAAACTGGCGGTAAACCGTCTACACAATCAAAGTAAACTGGATGTTTGGTACAATTATCTAGGTAATAGGAGAAAAAGGATCTCTTGAAGCCTTAGCTACAGCCGCTTGTTTCACAGGAAGCCGCTGTCCCGGGTCCCGATTTGTCAGCCTGTTTTTTCTCAGTCCCTTCTGCTGGTAGACATGGACCCAATAGATTCCCACAAAATGAGAGAATGTAATTACCGAAAGGAAGATTTTTGTGGGCACACATCTCCTCCGGGGATTTCGAAGATTTATCCAACTCATCCGGGTGTTTGTGTGGGGAAGGGGGAGATTTGGGCGGGAAACCTGTCAATTAAAATCAATGTTTACTGATAAAACTGAGTTTTGTTCAAAATTGAGCAAACTCCCTCGGTCCTCCATGGGCTTGGTTCCTGTCCCGAGTCTTGAAACCCAGTGCCAGAGGACCGATTTCAGAGTTGCGGGTGTTTGTGAACCTTTGCACCAGCTCTGCAGAGAGACTGGAAGAGGGCACGGCGGCCCAGGCGGGAGAGCACCGCCGGGCCCAAGCCCTGTGATCTCTGCTCCGCCGGAGAAGGCCTCGCCCGCCTGGGCTCGGACCCACGCGCCCCGCGTCCTCCCAGCCATCTTTTTCGCCTCCAGCCTCCGAGGTCCGAGGTCCCCCTCTCTAGAGATCCAGCCCCGGCTCGGAGCATCCCCAGTCAGACATATGGGGCATAAGTCCTCCGCAAAGCCCCTTAGGAAATTGCCGCTGCTCCTGGAGCTACCAGCCCGGAGGGCACATTGTCGAGTTGCAAAAACGGTTGGATTTTTCTCCCAAGAACCGTATCTGGATGCGGAGATGGAGCCGAGCGTGACCGCCTTTTTAAACTCGGAAATTCGTTGGACAGTGAAGGACTTTCGAACCCCGAGACATTCTGGTTTCAGGGCGGGTGAGCGTCGCGCCCCACCGCCAGCCCCGTGCGCACCCTGCGGTCCCCGAGGGGCCTCCGGGCTGCGAGCAGAGCCGGCCCGGGGCTCCCGGCGCCGCGTTTTGTAGAGAACCCGGCCTCCGAGATGCTCATTTCAGCCCGGTTTTGGAACCGTAGGGGAGCGAACGGGACCGCCTGCTCTGGGCTCTCCCGCAGCCCCGGCCCGGCGCGCGGGGAAGCGGCCTCTCCGCGGAGCGAGGCGGCGGCGGGAGAGGAGAAGCCGGCGCGGAATGGTCCGAACGGGGCAGCGGGATCCAGAAGCAGGGGGGCGGATTTCGAGGCCTGCAGGGGAGGTGACGGCAGAGACCCGGTGTTGGCTGCCCTTCTGCCCTTCGGTATTATTTCCCTGGACGTCAGGAACTTTCCAGGCCAGGGAGCAGCGTCCGGAGCGGGCTTTTGGATACCCTACCCTCCCGGACCCGCGTGGGTAATGGGCCGGCGCTTCAAAGGGCGCCTTTGTTCAGGCCGGAGGGGGATTGAGGTTATCTCCGAGGCTCGGCTTGCCTCTCCCTCTTGTAGCCCCAGGTCCCTGAGCCCCGTCAGGTCTAGAGGCCCTGGCCGGCCGCTGTCTTTGCTGAAGAGACGCAACTCCAGCCCTGGGCCCTCCCCACCCCTAGCTGCCACCTCCAGCTGCTAGTTCCTAGCCAGTGCCTTGAAGTGGCCCACAGAGAGAGGCCGGAGGAAAACTGGATTGGGTAGGGTTCGCTTGCTAGCTCCAGGGAAAAGGCTAAGCCAGCCCCTTTTAAATCTCCTGCTGTCCTTGTCTGAAACTGACCGCCCACTCTCACAGCCCAGAATTACTGGGGGGGGGGGGGAATTAGGCCACACTGCACCCCTGTCCCAAGGGTCAGGCTGACACAAACCACATTATAAAATAGCCATCAAGTCACACACACTGAGGCCAGACCACAGTCCTGGCTCCTCTGCTCCATATGACCCATTCACTCCCACCTGCGGTCCCTCTGCTGCCATCTCACTCTGACCAGCCTGGGCCAGTCTGGCTGCTGGAGCCAAACCGCGCAAAAGCTGGTGTGCGGCAGGCTTTCTCTCTTCCCATCAGCTCGTTTGTCCAGAGGATACCCCTGCTAGGACTTCATCTTGAGCTTAGAACGATGTGTTTTTTGAAGCAATTTATTTTAACACCAACAAGAAGTATCAGCTTCCCACCTCTCTCTCCCACCTTTCTCTTGCCCACACTTGAGATTTTAAACCTGATTCCTACTCAGATCAAGCTCCTCCATTCTCTCCCTCTTACTCCGTTCTGTCAGACCATCTCTCTGGGCATCTGTCCCCTCCACTACCACAAGTTAAACTCTTCTTTCAATGGGCCTGCCCGTTTTTGAGGGACCTAATGCTTATCTGTCCCTCCGTCTACCTCCCTATTCTATGGTCCTCTCTCCCTTTTGTAGCAGCACAGATCCAACCACTTGAAATGGATAAGGTGACTGGAAATTAGTGACTTCTCCCAGTCAGGGGACTTGGTCTCCCCTGTCTGAAGCCAGGGACCTGTAGAAAGTAATATCAGGCAGTTTCCACCAGCAGAGGGACGTGAACCTGGGGAATTCTAGCATCACCTCAATTATATGCCTGGCTTCACTTACAGCAATAGTTCCAGAGTTGGAAGATCTTAACGGAATAATCTAAACAATTGTCTTAAGAACAAAACAGCAGGTCACATTGAGTCAAACCCAAGGCCATTTCTGAAGAAATTCATTGGATCAGCTAACTCTGTCAAAACATTCTCTCTAGGGCTCTACGTTATTGGTGGGTCAGAGGGATTGTTACATGCCACTGCGTGAGAATCCAGGACCTTTTCAGATGTGTTAGCCTGTGCAACCAAGCCTGAGAGGGCTGAGTGGGGGTGGGGCGGGAGTTCATGGAGACCGGGACTGTCTGCGGAAGCGTGTTTAGCTTTTGTGGTTCCTGACCCCACCACCCCAGCCTCATCCAGTCCAATGTCATCCCCTCCTCCTGCACCTGGGAGCTGAGTTTCCATGGTGGCCAGTATTTGCAAGGGACAATCACACTCTTTGAAAACCATGTGTGGTAGATAGAAGAAAAAGACAGTAGGGGGGCTGGAGCATATATTTACACACGCCCACCCAGAAACCAATATACCTATATCTATGTATTAGAGAGAAAGATAATACCAAGATATTCATAAACCTGCTTCTTTAGCATGGAACTATTCAGGGATGAAGCAAGGTCTTTTCCCACCTGAGAGCAGCGGGTGTCTCCGGTAGGGAGAGGGAGAGAGGAGGGGAAGGGGAGAAGAACCTGACCTTAGACCTGCCGGTGCTGCCTGGCCATTGACCTAACTGCTGGCCTATTCTTACCCCTTGCAGGGTAGAGCCTGGGCCGGGGGTAGGCATTTTCAAAGGGCTAGTGGCCTGAGCAAGGCCGGTTGGCGTGAGGGGAGAGTTCCTTGGGTATCTTCTAGTTCTTGAATCTGTGTTTGGCTTGGGGATGCCTAATAGCTTCACCGTTCCCCTGTCACCTTTCCGACAACCAGCCCTTCTTCTCTGCTTGGTCCACTTTGAGTGAAACATGACGGGTCAAGCAGATGAACAGAGCTAAGGGACTTTCCTCAGTCTCGGCCTGTTGGGTTGCTGCAAGCCCTGTGGATTTGGGCCCATAGGCGCCTCCCCAGGGTGGGACCCACCCCTGGCCCATCAGCAGCACCGCATTTTTGCGTGGCTCCCAACAGGGTAACTTCGGGAGTGTGGAGGGTAACTGGGGAGTGTGGAGGCGTTTCAGGGAGTGGATTCAGGAAAGGGAGGCAAAGGGGGAGGGAAGAAAGAAGGGGCTAAGGATTGGGGAGGGTATCGGAGTACTCAAGGGAGTAGGCATGCGGGGCCCGGGATGCCCGGGCTGCGGCTCACGGCGCCCCTTCTCTCTCTGTCTGTCCCCGCGTGTGTTGCCGGCGGCGCGGGCAGCCAGCGACGTGCCCCAGGACGGGCTGCTCCTGCACGGCCCCTTCGCGCGCAAGCCCAAGAGGATCCGCACGGCCTTCTCGCCCTCGCAGCTGCTGCGCCTGGAGCGCGCCTTCGAGAAGAACCACTACGTGGTGGGCGCCGAGCGGAAGCAGCTGGCCGGCAGCCTCAGCCTCTCGGAGACGCAGGTAACGATCGATCGCCCCAAATTGGCGGCCCCCGCTCCCCTGGGAGCCCCATGGAGGTGGGAGCGGACGGGTCCCGGCGTGGCCCCACTCCTCCCCGGCCTCCCCCCCCCCCCCCCCCCCCCAGCCTCTCCGGCCCAGTGCGGGAGGCGCTGCGGCAGAGCCGGTCTGAGAGCGCCCGAAGGGTTTAGCCTGGCGGAGGCGCAGGGTGTTAATCCAGCCCCAAGGACTCGCTAGAAATGGAGTCAGACCTCATCCTAAGGCCGCTCCCAAAGCCCTCGGGAGGTGCCGGCTGACCTGTCACTGCCAGGCGCCCCGTGGACACGGGAGCATCTCAGCGCAGTGATTACTGTCCCTCACCACCACCACCACCCTTCTCCGGCCGCGCTGATTTGCTGCTGTTCACGACAGTCCCGGCAGAGGCCTCGACTGTCCACTGAAAGCCCAGTGTCCTCGGGGTAGAAACACCAGAAACAGAGGGGCTAAGCTAGGGAGCCACCAGCCTTGCGTGGGGCCGGAGGGGTGACCTATCTCCTCTCTGGCACGCAGGCAGGGAACCGGGGAAATGGCTTTGCAAATGCGAGGGCATCTGAGAAAAGTGGAAAGAAGATTCTGGGTATTCGGGGATTGGTTTCTGGTCACCTGGACGGCTGCTGAGCTGGGGAGAGAATATACTGCGGTGTTGGAGGGGTTGGACTGGGTGAAGTTGTAATCACGTATTTTTGTCATTGATAATTTTTTTTAATTGCAAAAAGTAGATGAGAGTTACAGGGAAGCACATTTGATTACTGTAAGGAAAGACTTTGCCATCCATACCCACCGCCTGGAAGCACCGCCTAAGCTTTCTGTCTGCCAAGTCCGGCTTGCTAGGGGGCGGGTCTGTCCCCCCCCCCCCAGGAGGATTTCAGCGTCCTAGGGCCTCTGAAGACCCGCTCCCTTCCGCCCTTGTCAATGCCTGGATTGCAAATCAGAGAGGTTTGCAAGCTGGCTAGCATTTCATCCTCCGCTAGGACTTCCTGCACTACTAGCTCCCTACCCTCCACTACCCTCCACCTTGGTCCTGGACTTGGAGAAGGTGCAGGGCTGGGCAGGGGTGTGTGGGGGGGGCCTCCTGGGGAGCAATGAGGGTAGGAAGGGGGCTTAGTGGGACAGACCAAACTAACTGCAGCCGACCTCCAGACCTCTCGAGCTTGTCCTCACGTCGCATTTTGGTATCTACTAAGGTCCTATCTGTCTGATGCCCAATGCCCCTGTCTCCATTAAAGGAGATTATATATATAAAAAAATCTGAAATTATATATATTATTTCAGATTTGCTAGCTGGGCTTCTCTAACCATAGAAATAAATAAAATGTACAAAACAACAGAGTTAATTCTAAAAATGTTTAAAAAATATATTTGTTTAAAAACCCACTTAAGCCAAAACCGGTTTGGCTCAGTGGTAGAGCGTTGGTCTGCGGACTGAAAGGTCCCAGGTTCGATTCCGGTCAAGGGCATGTACATTGGTTGTGGGCACATCCCTGGTGGGGGGTGTGCAAGAGCAGCTGGTCGATGTTTCTCTCTCATCAACGTTTCTAGCTCTCTATCTCTCTCCCTTCCTCCTCTCTGTAAAATATCAATAAAATATATATATATTTAAAAACCCACTTAAAAAATAATACCCCTTTTTTCCTCCTGGCAAACAGCATTTTAAATTTGTCTAAAACAAGGTGCCAATTTATGAATGGTGTTTACAACTAACTTCATTTAAAAAGTTCTAGTTATTAAATTTTTACTGCAGAAATATAACAAATGGGTTTATACTTCCACCACCCACAGATGAACACTTGTTGAAATAATGTCATTGTTTTAAACTTTCAATTTTTGAGCTCAGTGAGAGCACTTTAATTTTCTTTCATTGAATCTAGCTGCCTGCCAATATTTGCTCCTATGCCCGTTCGTAAACATGATTGTTTCTTTCATTTTTATGGTAAGATAGTTCAAACTTATATTTAAAACAAACATTTTAAGCAGTGTCACTATCAAAACTCATACCTAATCTTGTCCCATCTGTATCGGTGAGCTGGTTTAGCATAGAGAACAAAAAGTGTCACCAGAACCACCGCAGGTTTGAGCCTGGGAAACCCCTTGCAGAGGCTGTCTTTCCAGGTGACAAAGAGATGGAGACACTGGGCTGAGCATCCAGGCAGGCCGGTGCGATTTCACCCTCTGCCTTCCTGCTAGCGGACTGTGTGACCCTGGGGCAATGAACTCTGGTTCTCTCCTCCAGAAAACAGGTCGTTTAAGAATTAAAGGCACTTAATATTAACTCAAATAATATTGATTCTCATTCCTTTTTTTAAATGTAAAGTGATATATCAAGTCAGTATTACAATAAGATTCAAGTCTAGGCTGACTGACAGTCCAGTGTTCTTTTTGCTACATCCAGTCAGTCTCCTTTTCCGGCTGTCTTTCTGTCCCTCTCCTAACTTATCATTTGCACCTGGGTTATATCATTAACTAATTACCTATTCATCTTTCAGTAGTTGCCAGACAAGCTTACCTGTCATTTACAGTTATCAGCTAGTGGTCAAGCATCAGTCACTCCCATCTGCCCCCTGCCATTTCCTTCTACTGTCACTATCTATTTGTCTCTCAGAGCTCCCTGATCTGTCCCTCACAGATAGCTGTTTTATATCTAGCCATTACTTATGTCTGCTCTCATTAAACTGCCTCATAAAGCTGGTTAATTTATATTTCCTATTTTCTATTAATTATAATTTTCCCAACAATAACTCCTATTAACCGGACTGTTGATTATCTCTTTATCATCTGTTTTATTTTACCTTCTGTGTACACACCATCCATGTCAAACTTGTATCTCTATAGAACTATCTACCGACTGACAGGCAGTGAATTCCTGCTAATGGTTATCTATCATTTCATCATTCTGGTTTTGTCTTCTTTCTCAGCCTCAGTTGCAGGATCTGTAAGACTGAATGAAATTAATTCCAGGGTTCTTTGCAGCCCTACATTTCTGGCTCATCATCATTCTACTTTGTGTTTCTCTCTAATCCCTCCTCTAAGTTGTCCGAGCTCACAGTATTCCTCCTACATATAAAAATACGCACGGGCCTTTGCTATTGTTTATCTGCCATGTCCAAATGTCAGTCTGTAGACAGGCTGTATCTTTCTCACAAAGGAATCTTAAAATACAGATTCCTGATCTCTATTCAGGAGATTCTCTTAGGCATTTCCGGATGGGACCCAGGAAAAGTTTTTAAATGGCTCCCTGGGTGATTCTGATGAACAGCTGGCCTGAGCACCTCAGCTCTGGGAGCAGAGACTAAACCTTCCTATTTCTCACTGTACCCCAGGGATCCATAAACATGTAGTGAATGGGTGGGCCAACTTCTCTTGATTGTACACATATCCATATGTTACTTTTATCAGTCATTTCCCTTGCTCTCTACTGTCATTGTCCTCTGTTTTCTATCTTTCCCTTGCACTGTCTTCTAGATTGTAGATCTAGATCAGTGATCAGCAAACTCATTAGTCAACAGAGCCAAATATCAACAGTACAATGATTGAAATTTCTTTAGAGAGCTACATTTTTTAAACTTCTTCTAATGCCACTTCTTCAAAATAGACTCGCCCAGGCCGTGGTATTTTGTGGAAGAGCCACACTCAAGGGGCCAAAGAGCCGCATGTGGCTCACTAGCTGCAGTTTGCCGACCACAGATCTAGATGATCTAGTTTTATCCATGGATAGAGCTTCTGGGAAGGTTAGGCAAATCAGTGTGTGGGTCTCAATCCAGAGCTCAGGGGTCTCTGTACATCCAAAGCTTTAGCATGGAGTGTAGGGAGGTGGGCACCCTGAGCTTCTTTGTTGGGTAAGCTGTATGTGTGATTGGGAATAGGGTATTTGTGCTGAAATTGTGGTGGGTTTATCCAAGAGGTGGAGGGAGGGGCCCCAGGCTCTTCTCCCTTCTGGCTCTCATCACTTGCTCCTCACTGCTGTGGTGTATCCCTGGAGTCTGCCCAGCTAAGTTCAGTCCTGGTAGTTAGGTCAGAGCCACGACTGGTGCAAGTGAGTGAGTGTTAGTGCATGAATGTGTGGGGGGTAGGGGGATATGTGTATAATGGGTGTGTGCACATATAGGAGTTATTGATGCTCAAAGGTCAGGTGGTATTTCATATGTACACATCAGATGCCAGCAAGGCATCTGTATGCTGCGGCTCATGTGTGTGAAGGTGGCACATTAGTTTTAGGAAAGAAAGCATTTGGTTGCTCCAAACTGATGGATTGGCTGATGTTTCCAGCTGCCGCTCTTGCTCTGAATACTTCAGCAGGTGTTTCTTCACCTTTCCCAGCTTTAAGTTTAGCTGAGCTGTGAGGGGAAAGGGTGCAGAGACGTGTTCCTTGGCCTTGGAGATTCCTCATTTAGTGATGGGACTTAAAAACAAAATGTGCACTCTTGTGGGACATGCATAGGATGGGCAACTGGAGTCCTCTTAAAGTCATAGGTATGGGTATGGGCTGAGGGAAGTCAGGGAGACCCACATGGGTGATTCATTTGAGGATAAGAGCAAAGTTGGTCTGAGAGAGGAGAAAGAAGGCTTAGGAAGAGTTGTGGCCATGGTTGATGTGGGGTCTGAGGTGACCTCATTTTAATGGGGTGAGAGTTGAGCTTAGGATGGCATTGGCTTGACCTTCAGAGTGGGAGCAGCTCACATGATGAAATGATGGGAAATGGAGTTCTCGTCCTGTGCCTGTCCCTCCAGGTGAGGGAGCAGCGAGGAGAGCAGGCTGAGGGGTGGCTTGATTTGTGTCTCCAAGCCTCCACCTAGTCTGAGGGTTTCTGTGTCTGAGATGACAGAACAGGACAGGCTTAAGTTAAAGCAGAAGAGAATAGTAGGACATAAGGAGCAACTTTTTGTATCAGAATTATAAAAGTCAAGTAATATTGAATAGGAGTATTTTAACTCCTTGAGGAGAGGACAGGTATTCCCCTGAAAGTAGGCAGGGGCCAGAAGCCACAGACCTTTCCATTTGGGATGAGCTAAGGTTGTGGGGTGGGAGGGGGAAAGAGGGGTGGTGGAAAAGAAGGAATCCAGAACTGGTTCATTCAAACAGCAGATTATTTAAAAGTTAAGTCTGAAATACTGGCTGGAACTGTAGTTGGCCTGTTAATTCCTTTGTCTATTCAATCATACATGAATACATGCATGCCTTTATTCATTAATGCATACATTGATCAATGCACTAATGCATTGATTCATTCATTTATCCATAGCAGTTTCACCTGCTTTTTAATTAATTAATTTTAATGTTTTTTTAATTAATTTCAGAGAGAAGAAGGGAGAGAGAGATAGAAACATCAATGATGAGAATTATTGATCCACTGCCTCCTTCACGCCCCCTACTGGGGATTAAGCCCACAACTCAGCAAGTGTCCTGATAATGGAACCTGTGAACTCATGGTTCATGGGTTGATGCTCAACCACTGAGCCACACCAGCTGGGCAGTTTCACCTTCTTCATCCTGTCTGACACAAGCTGACCCTTGTTACCACCAACAATGCCTCCCTCCCCCAGACTCCCCCTTCAAGTAGTTAATACATGAAAAATTAAGAATTGACTGTATTGTAGACGTGTCCACTGAACTAAGCTAAAAGAGCATCCCATTTCTTCAGCAATTAGCACTTTCCAAACCCGCTCTTTTTTTATTAGGTCTCAGTCCCCATTGATTTTCTCCTGTTTTCCAGGTTTGGCCCAGAGCATAGGGCTGGGTCACCTCGTCTCTCTGTCCAGCTGCTGAACAGATCTGGAACCTGTCCCCTAGGACTCCAAAGCGGACTAGCTCACTGCTTTGGTTCTCCAGGTTCCCATAGTCTGGCGAGGAGGCAGGTTCGAGCAAATAAATTAGTGCACTGCTGGGGTCCCTGTTTCTGAGTCAGAGAAAAGTACTAAAGAAGTATAGATGGGTGGTGGGGCAGGTCCAGAGTCAGAACATCTGAGCAGGGTGAGCAGGGTTCGGAAGGCTAAGAGCATTCCAGGTTGGGTAACTCGGGGAAAAGCAGAGAGGATCTGTGTTATCTGAAAAACTGAGAGATGTTTAATGAGGTAGGGACTTGGGAGACCATAAGGAACCTCTCCCCAACTCCTAGGGGTCAGAGATGGGTGAGGGCTTCCTCCAGCCAACATCTCAGCTGTGCCTTTGGAGCTCAGAGAGAGAGATGTGTGGACATTGGGGGTGGGAACAGGTACAGAAGCAGCACAGCCTCCTAAGCTGGTTCTCGGGGAGCTGGTAGCCACACTATGTGACCTTGTAGTCCTTTCTCTAGAGAAGGGGCTCAGGGTGAGGCTGGTTTGAAGGTGTCATGGTGTCACTCTTTTTTTTTTTTTTTTTTTTTTTTTTTTTTTACAGAGAGGAAGGTAGAGGGATAGAGAGTTAGAAACATTGATGAGAGAGAATGTGCCCGCAACTAAGGTACATGCCCTTGACCGAAATCGAATCCAGGACCTTTTGGGTACATTTCCTTCTAGTCTTTTTCCCCCCATGCATAGATTTTGTTTTTCCATGACTGTGTTCACACTTTGTCCAAACTGTACGCCCTGCCATTTTCACTAATATTACTGCATCGTAAGCATCCCCCCGTTAGTTCAGTCTTTGTAAACAGCATCTGGACACTCAGCCTAAGGCTGTTCTCCAGAAGATAGCCAGACTGTCCAGGGAGAGGGTGAGCAGCCCTGTTTCTAGACAGCCGACTCCTCGACACTGGTTGTTTCGTGAAGAAAATATTCAGAATCAGCTTTCATTTGGGTGTGCCAGGAAGTTCTACCATTGAAACTTCCCTTCTCTGGGCCAGTGATTCTAGGCAAGGGTAGCAGGTTGGGTCCCTTCCACTAGAGCCATGTCTCCTTCCTGGAAGGAGAGATGGGAGTAGGAGGGAAGGAGAAGGCACAGAAAGGGGCCCTCTGTCCCTGTGCACTCCAGTGCTGCCCTGAATCACCCCAACATGCTGGCCATGCCTAACCCTCATTCAGCTCTTAGGAATGCTACCCAGGCCAGCATCAGATGTGACTCGTGTACATTGCCTTGCATAGAATACAGGGCAAGCTCACCCTCCTACTGGATGGCACAGTCATAACAGGCTCCAGGGTTGAAGTTGGGGGGTGTGCAGGGGCCAGGCTGGCTGCCAAATGGTTATGCTGAGAACCACACAGAGCCATAGAGCCCTATGCCCAAGGAAAGGTGGGCACAAATCCAGAAGCCCTGCGCCTAGGGCATCTGCTATCCTCCCCATGTACCTGAGGTGAGACCCACAGGTGAGGGGTTTGAACTCTGCCCTGGGAATGAGAGAAGAGGACCCTCTCCTCATTTTACTGCCTGAAGCCAGGCCCCTCCTCTCTTCCTGTCCTTGCTGGTTGCACTGGTTGACCCCTCCCCACGTCTATTGCTCTAACATCAAGGGCAGGAGCTGTGGAAACCCTGGTTGGGGGCGGGGGTAGGGGCAGCTCTGGGTTGGGTGGGCTCCATAGAAGGGACAGAGGGGACTGCCTGGGAATAGTGAGGGTGGGGCACCCTGGGCAGGAAACTGCCTCCTGGACCTGGATGCCAGGCCTGATTTTGAGCGCCATTGCCTGGCTTTATGGGAAAGGCCTGTGGCTGTCACCCATCCTTACGGAGCAGGGGCTGGACTGGGTAGTCTTTCTGAGGACTGCCCAGTCCAGGAGTCAAAGATCCCCCCTTAGCATCCATTGCTGCTGGCAAAATCAAGGTGCTTGCCATCAATCCACAGATGGACTTACCACTCACCATCCACACTGGCACCGTGGATCGCCCTGGCTGCAGTTGGCACTGCTTGCCTTAGAATGTGCTGTCACTTCCAGGAAAGCATCCATGCCTTGTCACCCTGGCCGCTCTGCATCACCTTCCCCGAGATGCTCTGCAGCAAAAGCCCAGGTGGTGCCTGGAGCCCCCAGGGCCCCAGAAAGCCTTTCTCCTGTAGATGAGGGGATTGAGCCCGAAGAGGGAAGAGACCCAGCAGAGGCTCCTGCCACCGACTCAGGCTGACCTGGCCCATTGGCTGCGCAGAGCCCAGTGAAACACTGCGTGGTCAGGAGCAGCGGACAGACAGAGCATGCAATGGCTCTGTACGTTCCCTCATTTATGTTCCTGTCAGCCCCGTGGAGGAGTGATTATTATCTCTTCTCTAGGAACCGTAGGGACCCGGGTCTGCTGGGCTCCGGAGCCTGGGCCTCCCCCTCTGGTGCTGTGGCTACAGGATGCTCGGCAGCTCCGCCCCCCCACCTGGCCCCCTTTCTGCCCACTGCGTCCTCTCCAAACCCAAGGTGGCGGCTGGCCAGAGGAAAGGACCCTGGCCTCGGGTTCCCCATTGGCTCCCGGCTCGTCCCGAGTGCTGAGGTCCTGGCGGCGGTCTCTCACCTGTGCCCTCCCTCCCCCGGCCCAGGTGAAGGTGTGGTTCCAGAACCGGAGGACAAAGTACAAGCGGCAGAAGCTGGAGGAGGAGGGACCCGAGTCCGAGCAGAAGAAGAAGGGCTCGCACCACATCAACCGGTGGCGCATCGCCACCAAGCAGGCCAACGGGGAGGACATCGATGTCACCTCCAATGACTAGGGTGGGTGGCCGCCGGCCCCTGAGAGCAGAGCGCTGCCAGGGCCCTCGGGGGGGCCCCGCTGGACTCACCGCTCCCCGGCCCCGCTGCGGGGAAGCCTCAAGTCACAGCCCCACAAGGCTTGGAGCCTGGGGCAACATCAAGGACGGAGGGACAAGAAATGGGCTGGCGAGGGCCTGGGACTGCTCGACCTTCTCTTCGGAGAGCCTGCCTGCCTGCCTGCCTGCCCGGGCAGGCCCACAGCCACCGCTGCCTCCCAGCCATTCTCGGTTTCTCTCTTCGTTTTGATGCATTTCTGTTTTAATTTATTTTCCAGGCACCCACTTGTAGTTTTTAGTGATTCCCCTGTGTTTCCCTTCCCTGTGGGAACAATAAAAGTCTCTCATTCGACTCCAACCCCAGAGCCTGTGAGCCGGGAGTGGTGGCACGGTTTCTGGGCAGGCTTGTTCAGGGCCCGGCAGCCTTAGAGACTCAACTTATTAACTCCTTTCCTTTTTTGGGCATCGACCTGGCCTCTAGCTCCAACTCCACAACAAGAGAAGCTGAGGCTAGGCATAGGGAAGGACGACCCTATCCACGAGGGAGGCTATGCTTGGTCTCCAAACGTGTTGGGCAATGAGCATCAGGTCCAAGTGGGTGAGGGGAGACAGAGTGTGCGTACTTCCCATGTGTAGAGACTCTTCAGTTGAGAAACCAGAGGGAAAGGGGAGTCCTGGAGTTGGGTGGAGGAGGCAGCCTTCACAGAGGCTGACAGTGCCAGTCCCAAGTCCTGGCCTGACCAGGATGCTAACCTGTCCCCAGAGAACCTCCTTGTGCAAATTCAAGTTTCAGAGAAAGGACCTGAGGGTGAGCCTGCAACAAGTGCCGAAGGACACAGCCTGGGAAAGAGCTCCAAAGCAGGGCATGCCACGCTCTTTACTTCCCCTGCCCACCAGTATGTCCACTGTCTTTCCTGCTTCTCACGCACCAAGGTTTCTTTCATCCCAAAAAAAACAAAACCTGTATGCCTAGCAGCCTTTCCCTCAGGACATTCAAGTGGTCCCCAACCCTCTGCTGATGCTGATGGCAGTCATTTCCTGCCACCCACACGTGGCCAAACATAACTGCCTCTCATCTGGCTTCACCTGCTCCCATCTTCTGGCCATTCCTCCCGACTCCCTCACCCTTCCCTGCTGCCTGCATTGGGTACCTCTGACACCTTCTTTTGCCTCCCAAGTCCTTCCCAGTCCTGTCCTTGCCTTGTCACCTCTGTCCATCCCAGGGTCAGTCCTTGTGCCTTTGGCTTGGGGCTTCACATCCACTGCCAGGACGTGCCTTTGGCTCCCTGGTTCACGCCTCCAGCTGCCCTGTACTGAGCTGCAGGCCCCCTGAGCTGGCCACCAGCCATGGGGTGTACTCCACGCCCCTCAGCACCTCAAACCCAACGCATCTCTCCACCCTTCTGCAGGATCGCCCGCCTTGGCAACTGGCCACGGTTTTGTCTCTCTTGGGAAACAGCGTATAAGGCTCCAGGGGTGTTGAGGGGAGGGGAGGAATGGTAGGTACAATGAGTTTGTGTGGGTGTCAAGGATGAGGTCCACTTCAAAGGAGGACCTCCGTGCTATGGCTAGGGCTCTCTTCCTCAGCCCAAATAGGGTCCTGTCCCCCCCTTCCTAAGGCCCCATTCTTCCTAAACTTCTCTCCCACCCTGACCTCTTCTACATCGCTCCTGGTACCTTCTGCTTCAGTCTCACCCACGTCATCCCTGTCCCTCAGTGGGCTGTGGGTTCTGCCGTGCCTTTATTACATAGTTCTTGGTGCCTGGAATGTCCTAGGGGCTTGGTCAATGTTAAAGTCCCTGGAAAGATGTCAAAGGCCCAGCCTTGTTGCTGGGGGGCACACCTAGAGATCCAAACACAGGAGATCCTTGTGCTGGGTCTATAAGCTTCTCACTTGGGGCTAGAAACCAAAGGGTTGAGTCCCATCTCCTCACCCCTCCCCACATCAACCAGACAATGCGTCCCTCACATCCTGCCTGAGACCCGGTGGAACCTCAGGTGGACTCTCTCACTGTCAGGAAGGTGGGCTGGCCTCCGGGAAGCTTGTGCACACAGGTTGGATGAGGGTGAGGAGAGACGTCCTTTTGGCATGAGCAATGGGGAGGCAGAGGAATGGGTGAGCCGTTCCCCTCAGGATTCTCTCTCCCTTGGTAGGGAAAGGGTGCAGGGAAACCATGGCAGAGCACCCCCTGCCATCCAGAGAAAGAGCTGGAAGGGACCCAAGGAAACCTGCCAATCTTCCTAGGCCAGGCCTGCGGGGGGGCGGGGCAAGGCGGGAGTCCCCAGCACTCCCATCCATCCCCCATGTTGTGCCTCTCCCCACAGACGGTAAATATTGGTGTTGTGACTTCATTAATAAAGGCTTCTGTGAGCCTGAAAAAACATGGAATCAGGATGAACTATTTTCTGAGCTGCGGGCTTGCCAGGTTTGCTAATTTGGGAGTTTTTGGGCCCTCTCCAGGGAACAAACCAAAGTCTCTCTCAAAGACACACAGATGCAGCCAGGAAGGGGAGCAGAAGCCTCAGCATGAGGCTCCCTCCCCTCCCCGACCACTCCTCCCCCTGGAGACCAGGGCCTGCAGGGATGAGGACGGTGGACAGGAACTGAGGGGGCAGGCCCTCCCTGAAGCAACCTGCCAGGCTGGGCCATAGCCCTCAGGGGTGCTGGCCTCCGGGCCCTGCCAAGTCCAGCGGGTGAGGTGTGATGAGCTCCTGTGAGAACCCATGTTGCGTGCACTGAAGAGGAGGGAATACCGGGGAGCTGTTGGTAACTCTTGTGGCCCAAGCCCTGTGCCTCGCATCCAGGGAAGGATCTTTACACAGCCTCTCGTCCCCGAAACTTTCTGTGATGAGTCCCTCGGGCCTCCACAGCGGCATGGTTTGGCTTACACCAGCTCCTCCTCACCGGGGCTGGGATGGCTTCCGGTGGGGCTTTGTGGAGCTCTCACCTCCTGACCGGGGTTCTGGCCACGAGGGAGCCAGGCTGGGCCCACAGACCTCTCCCAGAGCCCCGCTCCAGGGCAGCCATGCAGGGGGAGGGGCGGGGAGGCCAGCAGGCTGAGCGGAGCAGGCCCAGCCAGCTTTCCTGTCAGACGGGTGCTGCCAATTCGGAGCCAGACATCAGAACAGGTTTAACCAATTACCCGAGCGCCCCATCTGCCGTCTGGGGTGTGTGTGAGGGTGAGTGCATGTGAGGGTGTCTGTCTGGTCTGGGAGGGCTGTGGGCGTGTGTGCATGAGCGTGACTGTGTGGGTGTGAGTGGGCGGTCGGCGATGCACGTGGGCAGTGTGTGGCTGCCATGTCTCAGCTGTACCTCCTCATTTGTCAAAGACTGTGGCCACCAGCTTATGGCCTTCCTATCTCCCCAAGACCTCCACCCAGCACCCCAGCCTCTCATTCCCTCTTACCTCATCACCACCACTCTCAGGCCTTATCAGACCCCAGAATTGTGGCTGCTCTCAAATGCCACAGTCAGCTGTCCTTTCCTACCAGACCCCATGTTCTTCCCGCTCACTCAGTTTTCCTCTTCCTCCGTGCTTTGACCTCATGGGCCCCTTCTGGCCACAGACTCCTCTGTTCTCTCTCCAACACCACTGTTCCTTAGGTGTACCCGCCTGGCAAAATCCCAGACATGCTTGAACTTGTTTCCTTGCCTGCCCTTGCAGCTCAGGTGGTAAGGACACCAGGCGAGCTTGCAGGGTGCCCCCCCCCCCCCGGAGGTCAAGATCCCAGCCTCAGCTGAGGCCTCACCCTGTTGAGAAGTCCACTCTCATCCTCCACAGGGGAAGTCTCAAAGGACCATCCTTCTCCTCCCAGCGGACTTGGTTTGCATCTTCAGAGAGAACAAAGCAGCAGAGGAAGAGAATCCCTTCATATCAGTCAGGGGCATGCAGGAAGAGACGGCCCCTTTAAGTGGGGCACTTTAAAGAGAGTGGAATAATGGATTTTGGAAAGCCAACAGAGATGTTGCAGCAACAAGGTTAGCAACAATGGGAAGCCCACACAGCCCTTAGGCCGGAAGAGGCCAGAGGCAGGAGCAGTTACCGAATCATAGAGGACCGCTGGGCGGAGAGGGCCCCTCTGGGGCTGCAGCCTTCAGTAGACTGCAGTGGAGATGGGGGTGAAGGGACAGGGGAAGAGATAAATCCCCAGTCTCACTCTCCTCCAATCACCAGTTTCCTAGTGGTGACCCCCAGTGGTGGGAGCCAGGCATCAAGTCCATTTGAGTCAGCCTTTTGGGATGGAAAGCTGATGGAGCAGGTGCAGAGCTGATGTGGAGGGGCCGGGGAAGCTAGCCTCACCCGGCAACTTCCTGCACTCAAACCCACACCACCTGCGTCCAACCCATCCTCTCCACCTGCCTCCTGTTGCCGCCCAAAGCTCCTCTCTCCTCAAGGAGGATTCTCCCTGCACCCAGGAGGACCTCATTCCTGGGTGGTTCTTTTTCTTCTCTGCCTTTACAGTCTCCTCCACTCTCACCCATTAGAGTTTCCACAGGCCCGAGAGTCTCCCGTCTACAGCGCTCCCTTAGCCCCATGTCATGCTGCAGCCATTGTCATCGCTCTCTGCCCAACTCACATGAATTTCCTAACAGGCACTCAGCGGGCGTCCTGCTAACTTCCCAGCCCAGGATGATCTGACTTTTGCCCTAACCACACTCCACGGAAATCCTTTTTCTGCAAGTCCTTGGTCTTTATCTTCTTAAACGCTCAGCACCGACTAAGTATGTGGACCGCGTCTCCCACTTGAAGGATGCTCATCTCTTGTCCTCTGGGTTACCATGCTCTCCTTATCTTCCTCTTACCTCCTATATCAGTTTGCTGGGCTGCCATGACAAGCACCACAGGTAGGGTGGCTTAAACAGCTCCTCTTCTCACCGTTCTGGAGGCTGGAAGCCCACAGTCCAAGTGCCAGCACTTTGATTGGTTTTTGCTGAGGCCTCTCTCCTGAGCTTGCAGATGGCT